TATTAATATTTCAAAGTTGTCACATACAACTTGAATGATTGAAAAGTTAGATTTTGTTGTCATCTTTTTAGTTTAACTTAAATGCAAATTCAACATATTGCCACCAATGTTTTGAACTTTTTGTAGATTTCAGAAAGATATATTGCAATATTATATTGTAAATTTTTGTTTGATTTGATGAAATTAATCCATTGGTCATACTGTATTTAGGTAGCAAGAAATAGGAAAATAAAAAAAAATCATCATAGTTGTCATCATCATCACCATCATAATCTTCATCTTCACTTTCTTTATCATTGATAACCATTGTCAACATTTTTGTCACCATCATCTTTACTACTCCGTCATCGTCCTCTCATCTTCGTCATTTTTCATGATTGTTCATTTTTCATCGTTCACAGAGAATCTTAAAATATCAGCGTGCTGACCACATTCCTGAGTTAAAAGACTGAAAAAACTATGTGATGCACTGCTCTAAATTTTTATTAATTAAAAAAAAGTAATTTTTCATTTTGTACAGTTAAGCCAGTTTATGCATGTTGCATGCATGCATGCATGTTTAGAAAAAAATATATTTTTGAATCCAGTCTGCCCACAGGTGAAATTTTATTTCTAATTTCTTATATGAAGATTAATGTGGAAGACTTAAGCTAATTCCCCTGACCATCTTGAAAGTGGTGCTAAAGATAATCAGGTAAACCCTTGTAGTAGTGATCTGTCTTGTGTAGCACCGTGATTAGTTGTTAGTTATGACACCAAATCCATACCACAATAGGATGATATCGATGACTCACGTATTAGATAAGGAATTTGAATTGCCGGTTGATGTATCGCTGGCTTTTTCTAGTCTCACAGCAACGACATGACAGCCTTAAAGTGGCTTTTTATTATGCATTATGGTAATAATGATAATGGTAACAATAATAAATAATAATAAAAGCAATATAATTAAAAAAAACTGAGTTTTACCTATGGAAACATGGCGGCAGTGAAAAATTAAAGTATAGGGAAAAATTTTAAAACAGAAAAAAGGCAAATATATACTGTAGCATTAACTCGGTAATACTGGTCTCATGTATAATTTATACCCATATTACTAAATGATGCTATGCCAATGCTTTGCAGCTAGTTAAAAAATTGGAAACTGAGGATATTTTCATTTTCAACAAGCATGGAAAATTTAATTTGGTTCCAAAATTATGGGCTCGTGCCCCACTCATGGAATCTTTTATACTGCCGTCACAATATCACAACAAACATACATACATTATTTTTATGTTATCGTCTATGTGTATCTTCCCCGAACTATCAGCCATTAAGTCTGTAGTCTACAACGTATAACAATGAGGTAATAAACGATGGAACGTCACCCTGGTTTTGACGAGTATAATCGTTCCTAGTGCCCTCAGCAACACCCTGTGGGGACGAGTATACTCGTCACTGCTAGCAAAGATATTCAGATTAATAATAGGAAGTAGCCGTAAAATATGATATTACTACATGTGAACTGAGGATGACATTTTTAAAAAGCATTGGCAGTTGACTATTGCCTGAATGCTTTATAAACACCTGCGTCTGCAACTTTAATTTACATTCTATAAAATGGTGTATATACCAGAGAAGAGCAAAGTATCACATTGTTATGTTATTATTGGATTGATCTAGTTGGAAGGGTATACCAACATAAACACATACTGTAGCACATATAAAACTGTTGCTCAAATGCTTTGATTTATGTGAAGGTGGTGTTTATTTTGCATTCCACATTGATGTTAATGTACTGATGATTCACTTGGTGAAACTATTTTAGGCCAACAATATTTAAAGGGACCGATCATTATGTTAGATTAGTTTGTAGCATCATTGTCATTAACAATAGCACCAACATTCTTTTTTACTCATAATTAATTTTAGAAGCAATTTTTTTTATTAGAGTAATTAATATTTTATTTTATTACTAATTACATTAGATTTTAAGATATTCCCAATGATTTGCAGACATACTGTAATATACAATTTGCTTGATTTTTCACCATTACCAGGGCTGGAAAAAGTGCACAACCGCGGTCGGAGGCAACTTTACTCTCACGGAGGCATTTTAGGGGGAAACATCCAAAAAAATAAACTGATGGGTTATATCATGTACATATAACATTTGGGCAAGCATTTTATCAAGTCAGCTTTCATGGTTGGAGGCACAAACTTCGTTTTTCCAGGCCTGTTACAATTATCGTCATCATTGTTCATTATCATCATTATCCCTATCACTGTCGCTTCTAATGATTTGGTGTAATTTAAGGGAATAAGAATACCATAACTTAACAGAAAGCAACTTGTTTTATTTACCTTTGAAGATGTCCCTATTCATGTACCTAAATATATTGGTTTTAGTATATAATCAATCACATAGCAGGCAACATATAATACACACAAGCCTCAAATGTTTTCCTAAAAGTGCTCCTCACTACTGTAAATCATCATGCCAATATCCTTAATGTTGGCCTACAGTAGGAATAATGATTGACACAATGTCTCATCACCTGTATTTCCTACAAATTAATTGTGTATTGAATTCTGTAAAGTAGCAAATGAAATAGGTAAGTAGGTAAAGTAGCAGTATCCCCAAAAAAAACAAAACAATAATAGGCCTACAATATAGCAAATTACTTCAAAGTGTCCCACTTTTTTATTCAACGGTTGAACCTGTGATGAATGTTGTTAGGTTTAAAAAGTACACAACTGTGCGACCGGAGGTCGGAGACATAGTACATCATCTCTCAGTAAGCATTTATAGAGAAAAAAATTTGTTTTTCCTTACTGTTTTTCTGCTCTATCCAGACTACTTTTGGGCTATGTGTGTAGTAGTGGAGACATTGCGCTTTTAATGCAATAATTAGTATTGAATCCTAGAAGCATTACTTACGAATTATATATACTATCGTATATTGAAACATGTTGTTGAGACTACTGTAAGAATCACTTAGATTGAATGTATGAAATGAATAATGAAAGTAACAAATGAAAATGGATGCAATTTGAGAAGAGGTTTGAATTTCAATGCAGTTGATGTCATGTGATGCAACATGCACATTAATGAATACAGAATTAGGAAAATCAATGATGAATGGATATTCAGTAAATCACAGTAATAAGAGGATTGAATTATAGGATAAAAAGATCAATCTTTCTTGCTGTCAAGAACCAACAATCTGGATTGTACTCCAGATGTATAAAAAACCATACATGTGGAATCAGATCATCATCATCATCATCAACATCATCGTCATCACCATCATTGTCATCACCAACATCATCATCATCATTGGTCTCTTGAACACTGTTCATCATCATGATTACCTTCGTGATGAAGTCATCGTCGTCCTCTATTCATCATCATTATCATCAGCAACATCATCATCATTATCAAGTAATCACCATCATTATCATAATCAAATCATCATCATTATTATTATCATCATCATCTTCATCAGCTGAGGAAATGGAGTATTTTATTTTGCTCAGTGTGTTAATCAAATCAAAGCTCTGGGCTACAGTATTTATGCTTTTGATTTTCACTTGGGTATGTCACATGGAATTTTGGCATGAAAATGGGATGCTTTGGATATTTAATTATCCAGATTCATTTAAATTTGCCTTTATTCTAATAAAAATAAATCAATCATTCCTATGAACTTTATAGTTTCCTATTCTATTTAACATGTACAGTAGGCCTAATTCTTAGGATTTGAATTAGAAACTATGGTGTTTCTGTTGTTGAGAAATTATGCTAATTAAACTTAACAAGAGGACTCTGAATAAATTCTCCTTGATGTCACAGTGATGTAAATAAATTACTGTACTATCCATTTGACATTCTGCGACTGACTAAGTTTACTGTCAAATCCTCTGATATTTAACTTCAGGTGACATACAGATTAGCTCTCATCCCCTCAGACTCAATATACTTAACACGGTATATTTTTCAGTGAACCTTTTGCAGATCGTTAACGGGTTGATTTACCATCGCAAGTTGTTATCTTGTAACTCCCTATAATCAGACGTTATCATAATCATATAAAAAATGTTTGCAAAAATGTACATTGCCAATGATAAACATACAACAGTCTGACTAATAATAATCCCTCCAAACATGAAATGTTATGTAATGTGGATAGGAAATGTAAGAATTTAATTATACAGAAATGTTATAATATACTGAGACATTACAAATTATAGTATATAGTAATAATGGTCAATATTACTATATAAAATGTAAGATTATTTTGGTTATTTTCTGTTTTCAAACAATGTTTGGAGATTCTTGTTGACAGTGGTTTATTTCCATTTTTGGGGAAACAGACTAACTTTCTTTTGTGTAGGCCTGTCTATTTATAAATTTTATATATAAGCTTTCGGATCTATATGCCCATTTTAGAACTGGTAAAATAAAATGATAGAAAGCCTTGAACTAAAATGGTTGCTTGCAACAAACAGCACAATGTACAGTCTTACAATAAATACGATTAAGTAAAAGAACCCCAGCATATATTATTTTCTTTTTATCAGAATTGAGTGTTATGGTTTATAAAGGAAACAATATGGCTGCTCCTGCTAATAAAGTATTATACGTTGCATCTCTAGAGAGTAGAGTGGTATGTTTGTGGTACTGGTAATTGTTTACTCAGAAACCATAGACCTCTGTAATTATATGCTAATATTTACTAGCTAGTTGCTATAGAAATATGTTGAAGCATTACCAATGAGGTTTAACAGTTTTTTTTTTTTTTTAAGAAATTGTTTAATTTTCCTTTATAGGTTAATAATAATGATAATATAAAAAATAAAACAGCAGTTAATGCACCATCTATCTAGCGTGCTTCTCCGAAGCTCAGAAAAATTATGTATTTATTTTATATTTTGATTGGTTGGAAAAGTAAAACTGATTACTAATGTTAGACATTGATGACTGATCATTTCTGCCTTTTATTTGTTTCATTCAGAGGGAAACAAGAGGATCCGTTTTACTAGATCTAGTTTACAAACATCTTAACCTTCTCGAAGTCGACTATTTTGGACTTCGCTACCAAGACTCCAATAATCAGACAGTAAGTAATAATTTTGCTTATTATTCTACCTTCAAGGAGCTTCCATTATTCAATAATAAATATATAACCAATTTAGGTTAATGTTTTTGATTAAGTACCACTTGATGCCTTCCTCATCTGCAAGTAACACTATCTCACCTAGTAATTTCATCACTATCGATAATTTGATAACATTGCAGTGTACATTGCTTGTTGCATGCAATGCATTTAGCCTTCTGTGTACGTTCACCATTATGTGAATGCTATGGGAATTATTTCAGAATCCCCAAGAGAATATTTTTTAGCCTATAGCAATAACTTGGGGTTGCTGGAAATGTTAATAACGGAGATGTATATTAGTTGGTATTGATCAGTAGTATGGCATATCTGGGTCAAGTGTGCTGGATGTTGACAGATGATGATGAGTGCATTTGATGAAGGATGAGTCAGCGTGGATTTTACACGTAGATATATGTGGATGTGTAGATTCCTAAGGGCAGTGCTGCTACGGCGTAATTATTATTATTGTTCAGAGTGCTCATTACTGCTGAAAATGACAGTAGAATTCAATAGTAAGAGAATGTTGCTGGCTGGTAGTTTGTATAGCATGGATGTTGAAATAGAAAACATTAATCAAAGACTAACATTTTTGAAAAGGTTGCTTGTTAGTAGTTTGATGTAGAATACAGTAGAAGAAAAAAATATAATGATAGTTATTATTAAAGTTACTTGATTAGGAATCAAACATTGTACATAGTAATGTCAGAATTATTGTAGTAAATTAGAAACAGCAAACTACTATAGTGCCTTAGAATTAAAAGTCAGAAGTAATAAATTTAAAGTCAATAGTTTTCAATTGTTAGGACTAATATTTAGGAAGTAGATGACAACAGTTATAATTAAAAAATCTATATCAGGAACTCTTGACTTTTTGCAACATAGTACACAATCAAGATTTCTTCAGTCAGAGCTATTTTTGTAAAAATCTTTCACCATAGCCACATTTAATTTTCTTCCAGTTTGTTTTTACTCGAGTAGTTTATTAGTTGTTCTTTTGGACTGTTGACTTTTCTGAGTGATCCTACACAGAGCTTCATGTGCTGGTTGTACCTCAGAGTTTATACAAAGGAAGATTATACCTTTTTAAAAAATTAGAAAACCAAGATCGGAAGTCAATAATTATTCAGTAGAAGGAATGTAAAATTCATTAGAAGTCAATATGTAGGTAGAAGTCAATATTTATGAATCAGAGGTCATTATAAATAAAGGAAAATTTTTAATGTACATGTATAAGTCAGAATTTAGGAATTAGAAGTCAATAGTGAATAAGAAGTCAACAGTTATGAATGAGAAGTAGTTTGTTTTGAACTATGTTTTAGAGGTCAAAAATTACAGTTTGATGAGCACTGATACTGTTTCTAAAATTATTCTCATGCAGTACACTAGTACAAATATAATTAGATACGGTAATGTTAGATGTTTTTTAACAAAATTAGTATAACATGTACACTGTAATCAATGACAGTCTACTGCAGTATCAATAGTCATGAAGCAGAGTCGGTTGATTACTTGGAAGGAGGTCAACCTAAGAAGGTACATGGTAGCCTCAGGGCAAGGCAATGTAAATTAAATAGGACATCATATAATGTATGATGTTCTGCATGTAATGTTCAAGAATTTGAGTGAGCATCTTGTTTTAATATCTCATGCCAGAAATATTTTCATATTTTAGCTGTCAATATTTTTTTTTTAATGTTTTCTGTGTTTTTATTAAATGTAAAATATTTCTAATTTATTAATCTGTGTACAGTACTATACTTTAAATTTTATTGATTTGCATTTTTCATAAAGTCCTTAATTAGTTTTATTTGGACTATTAATACTACAGTATCTACTATATTTTTTATGACATAACATTTGATGTACTGTAAATCAGTGACTTTACTATTAAGAAATGTATCATATTTTTATTTCATGATATTAAAATTCCAGCATTGACTTGATAATGCTGGAATATTAAAATTCCAGCATTGACTTGATAATGCTGGAATATTAAAATTCCAGCATTGACTTGATAATGCTGGAATTTTAATATCATATTTTTACTTCATGATATTAAAATTCCAGCATTATCAAGTCAATGAAACAGTATAATGATGTGCAGTTCTATGTGTTGTATTTTGTGATTTTCAGTTTTAGTTTAGTGATAGATTAATTTCCTGGTTTATTTTTTAAAACCTGTTTACAGCACTTTCAACTATGTTTATACTGTAGATATTCAATTTCTTTGTTTCTTTTCTTTTTTTCTTTCCTAAATATTATCATCTGTTTATTTTGTGTAGCACTGGCTTGAACCTATCAAGGCCATTACAAGACAAATTACAAGTAAGTATATAAAAAAGTAATTGAACACGAACATCATCTTAATAATAACAAAAATATTTTATTGTGATAACACTAACCCTATCATAGTGATATTGCAACACTGTCAGAGTCAAAATAGTCAAACTAAACACCATAGTTTTTTTTATTTATTTATTTGAACATACGCCTTTGAATTGGTGGCACTCAATATCAATTGGTGCGTTCATATAAACAAAAAGAGGGTAAAATTTAACAAACAAAATAAATAACAATCGACTGTATAAATAATAATATTACAAAATTAAAGAAAGGTAACAATACTATAACAATAAACAAACCATATATGCAAATTATATGCATTAAACAGCAACGTTGATTGAGTCTAATACCAGGCTGTTATAATCTAAAACCATGTGAACTGTGTGAGATGAACAACTACCGACACTGCTCAAAATAATTTTTTTCCCCCTTTGCTTCATGTGGAAAACTCGTCTGATTGAATTTTCTACACATGAAATTTACTAAGCTGGGTAGGCATAATGTCGTACACGAACGCTAATTGGTTGGCTCGCCCAGTTCAGTGCACGTGTGGTTTTTGTTTTCATACACGAACGCTAATTGGTTGGCTCGCCCAGTGCAGTGCACATGGTTTTAGTTTGTCTCAACAGGCCCAGACAACACAGCAGTTGTGTTGTTTAGAATAGACATGGAGAATTCCCAAGTTATACTTTTGTCGTATAGCTAATCTGACAATATTTTCATGTTCTTTAGTTAAATAAAAGATATAAAGTAATAAATTAATACACTAGACACATGGTTTTATTTGAACACTTTATTATTACATGGTCAAGTGATGAATAAAAACACTAAACACATGGTTTATTCGTAGGCCCAGGCCTACAGTACAGTTGTAGGTCTAGCCTATACCTAGGTAACATCGTTCATCCATTGCATATGTTTATTCAGTGTTACGTACATATTAGGTCAAAGGTCACCACAAATTTAACCCAAGCTCAATTTTACGAATCCCCGATTTACGTACGCCATCCTGTCCCGTACTGTATGTAAAATCAAGGTTCTACTGTGGTGACAACACAAAATACAGATGACAAATTCCTTTTTGTAAAATCTAGTAAGAAATGGAATACTTACTCAGGACATTAAAAAAATTAAAACAAACAAAAATATGTTATGGATCAGGTTGTGTCAATTTTTCATTTATCCATCTTAATAACACTTTATTTTCTTTATTTTTGCACAGATGGCCCACCATACACTCTTTACTTTGGCGTTAAATTCTATCTGGAGGACCCATGTCAGCTTAAGGAAGAGATCACACGCTATCAGTTTTTCCTTCAGCTCAAACAGGACATGTTGCGCGGCAGACTACCATGTAATTTTAGTGTTGCCGCTGAGTTATGCGCTTACATAGTGCAATGTAAGTTTCAGTAACGTTGTGTTATTTTCTTCATTTTTAAAAAAAATTTCACTTTTAATATTCGTAGTGATTTTGTTTTACTTTATGATTTCAACATCTGTCATTATGTCAAAGAGGAAAAGCTTTATGTTCTGTGTATAGTAAATCTATTTTTGTTTTTGTTCTTTATTTGTACGCTTCAAATGTTCCCTCAATTTTCATCTTGTTTAGCACAATTTAAAATTTATGTATAGAACCACACAAGGTTGTACCTTATGGTGCTTTTGAAATTCTCCTAATGAATAAACTGAATATTTGTTGGTAATTATGGGCAGTGAAATAGGATGATGAGATTGTAAATTATTCATTAGTATCAAAATATGATATTGCCCTAGATTGTATGTAATCTGATGTTCCAGTTACAAATTTGATTTTTGTTTAATGAAGTATAAAAAAGATCATTTTGTAAAGTAGAAAGCAAAGTAAAAAAATATTTTAAAACAATAAGGTTTTTATATGCCTACAAGGTCTTTATCAGCCTTCACATTTCAAGTGGGATGAAGACTCAGAAATAATACAAATATGATTCATAAACCTCATATTCACTGTTGTAGGTCAAATAACTTCAAAAAGCAATTCTACATTTTAATAAATTCATCAATAATTCAGATGCGGATTTCCACATATAAATGCCAATTTCTTTATACACTCTGACTTGCAAAATTAATGAGGATTGATTCACAAAATCGTATTCTTCAACTGATTACATGTGAAGAGTAATAGTGAGTTTGATTGCAGAGGTTGCATTATCCAATTAAATTTAGAGGCTCATTCATGAATGTTGCCTTAGATGGAAACATAATTTAATCTTATTTCATGAGTCATTAAAAGAGTAATAAAAAGAATAACTGGAGAATGGTTGAGAATTTCGTATCAAAATGTGATGTTACATAAGAAGCAACTGTAGCAGCATTCAGTCTATTGCAACATAGCAGTGTTATGTCAGTAGTAACTTAATTGTGGTGCATTAGTAGCAACGTCACCAGTGTTACATTAGCAGCAACATTGCAGGGTTTCATCCTGCAGCAGCTGGTAGCATTCCATCAGCAGCAACTTAACAATGTCATGTTTGGAGTAAACAGAGATAAGTAGCAACATGGCAGACTTATCATCAGCACTTGCCACAAAGTACACAGGCCCGTAGCCAGGGGGGGTTTTTATGGTTCGGGCGAACCCCCCTTTTCTAGCGAACCCCCTTGTTTTCTAGCGAACCCCCTCGAATTTTTGAATGAGTCCCACCCGTTTTTAAATTGTAGCCT